TCTCCCTCATCGATGTTTCTATCTCTCTCTCCCTCTCATTTCCTCTCTCTGTAAAATCAATAAAAGAAAAAAAAATTTTAAGAAAAAATTACTTAATTTCAGTAAACACATCTATAAATGGAGGTAATAGCATCTTCTTGGGGATAGTGAATAATAAATGAGATTGAGTGGAAAGGTCTGACCTAGGGTGTACTATTCAAAATTCTTTAGTTGCTTGCTAAATCATAATTTATTACTTCTCAGAATCACCGTAAAATTCAGTAAAAATATATCTTGACAATACTTTAAAGAACACATAGTTATAAATGTGCAGGTATATATATATAGTTATCTTTCTAAAATAAAATTTGCCAAACTCTACAAAATTTTAAATTTGCAAAAATGGCCTCTACTGACCAATTAAATCATTGATTTCCATTCCCTCCTTCCAAGATGAAGACTATTCCTCTTAGCAGAAAAAATATATAAGTAAAAAATGTTCATTATCTCTTCCTTTTCTGCATCACCTCCTAACATTATGTCATATTATTCCAAGTAATGACCCTATCTATTCAGTATGAGGTCACTTTTCATATCTGTTCTAAAAGTTTATGATTCTAAAAGAATAAATTAGAGTGTCATTGATCATATAGAAGAGAGCAAAAAACTGAAACAAATTTTCACAAATAGCAGAAAAGTTTATTTAGAAATCCTAAAAAAAATCAATAATAAAACATTATGAACAGTAAAAGTTAATTATTTATTTTATGATGGAAATATTTCAGTGTAGTTATATCTGAGTAGATACTGATTTTTTTCCAGGCCATAAACATTAGTCCCTTCTACCAAACACTAAACAAAAACTAAATAATATGCATTGTATGCCACAGAAAGGAAACATAAAAATATATATTTCACACCTATTAATTGACCAGAAAGTACTTTCTGACCCTGAACTTAGACTGACCATAATACAGAATCTGTCATTAAGTGTTCAGTTCACACACATACACTCCAAACTGGTCCAACAACTTCTATTATGCCAGTTACCAGCATTGCCAGCCCCTTTGCCCTTCACTGCCTGGAGAACGTCCATCAGAAACAGGGAAGCGGAGCAAGCTGCCACAATGCACCATTGATGTTTGAGCACGGCTGCCCAAGCAGCTGCAACAACAGGGCAACTCTTCAAAGTGTCAGCATTGAAACTTAGAGTTCTCCCTCCCGTACAACTATCAATGAAAACCTTTATAAGCTACAATCAATTACAAAATAAATCTTTGAGACAAATCATGTTCTTTCTTCATTTCTCCTCTCCTCCTTCTCCTCTCAACACCAAATGTCCTTGGTTAAAAAAAAAATTCAAGGAGAAATTCCCTCCTTTTCTACTTCTGTCTCTGTCTCTGCCCCTCTTATGTTCTAAAAATTCTCTCAAGGAGGTTTAAGGATGTCTGCTAAGCGCTTTTGTTTACAAGACATGTTCTGGGGGGTTTTGTTCGTTTGTTGTTGGATTTTTGTTGTTGGGAGCTTTTTTTATTTTAAAACTTCAAAAGCACTTGATATTTTGAGCACACTCATACTGGATTTTTTGGCAAAGGATGTTTTTTATTATTGAAAGATAATCTACATTCTAAACTGCATGCACTGAATCACATAACCTCCATATTTTTGAAACCACAACAAAAGTGGTTTTACATTAGCTATAGATGAATAGGTAATGAGTCAGTGAACAGTTAAAAGCATTCCATGAGAATGCATAAACTAGCCATGTGAAGTTTTTGATCTTAAGTATTTAGACATTACTTAGAATGAGGGGAAGCTATTCTTTGTTTAACAAATGAACTATGTTTAATTTGTCTTATATGACTATACCTACAAAGTTAAATGAAAGTTTACTCATGTGTTTTCTATTTCTCCTTAGCCATCAGTAGTTAACTTGCTTGTATTTGGAATACATACTTAAGCTCTGAGAATTGTACCAACAACTTTTAGATTTCTCACCATAACTTTTACCATACAAACAACATGTGTACCATATAGGTATAAGAAGAAAACCCTCCAAAAAAACATTTATTCTCAAGAGACAGAATGTCCAAATTTATGCAATACCAGGTATAACCCATATAATTCCTCCAGGAAGTCAAATACGTACACTTCATCAATAGTTACTCTTCTAACTGAAAAATCAAAATCCAAAATACTTATATTCCTAATCTCTTATAACTTTTAAATTATAATTTCTCAAGTTTACTAGTTAAAAAGTACCACAACATTTATTTTAAAACAAAACAAAAAAAGTCTCACAGCAAGCTCCCAGGAGACAGACTTTAGATCATTGTTTTTTGGAAAGAACATCAAATAAAAGACACTCTCCAACCTCATTGGAAGGGTCCTTACTAGGTACCTAACCACAAATTGACACCTAAGGTTTCTGACACTTGACTCTGCCTACAATGGTCATCAAAGTCCTCTATGAGAAGCAGCTGACTTCAGAGGTAGATAGCTATCCAAAGAGATTGGCAAGGCATATATATTGATATTGTACACAAACCAACTGCTTATCTTTACCTGTCTGCTAATAATATTAGTCATAATAAGAATAATACTTGTTCTTTGGGTTTTTCTATATAGTCCAACTGTTTTCAATTACTGAATATGAATAACCTAACTGTTAAAACCTTTTTTTTTTTTCACTCCTCACCCGAGGACATTTTTTCCATCTATCTTTAGATAGGGGGCGGGGGGGGGAGGCATCGATGTGAGAGAGACACATCGATTGGTTGCCTCCTGTACGACTCATACCAGGGCCAGGGACGAACCGCAACTGAGGTGTATGCCCTTGGTCAGAATTAAACCCTCAACTCTTTGGTCTGTGGGCTGACGCTCTAACCCCTGAGCAAAACTGGTCAGGGCTGTTAATACTCTTTTTATGGCTTATATAAATGTTATATTAGATGCCAAATACAGAAAAATGAGACAGAAGGCAAAACTGGGATCATGATAGTTCACAGGACAGACATGCATCGATACAATTAATAACTTGGTTATTATTTAACAGGAAAGGAGTAAAGGGAAGACTAGATAATATAGGCATGCCATTTATACAGCTTTGCCAGGAAGCTGCAAGTTAACATTCACCAGGTCTGTTCCTGGTAGATTGATGGGGAAAGGGAACTGGACAAAGGCAGTATAGGTATATGTCCACTAAGGTGTGGGTGACGTGGGAAGGTATTTACCTGTCAGTCACACCTGGGAACAACTTAATGACCAGAATAGGTGTGGCCATTACAACGGTGCAACTCCTGAACAAAGGAAGTTCCTTCTCTTGGTCTCTCTTGGCACTTGGCCCTCTTGCTCTCTTGGGACTCCTATCGCAGGGGGACCCTTTCCCTGCATGCACCCACATGGCCCGTGGCCATGTAGACTCCACACAATGAATGGAATTAACTTGATGCCCGATGCCACATTGGACCCAGTTCCACCATAGAACAAAAACTCTGGACACTGGCCCTACTTCTAGCTCTACTAAAGCCCCAGCTGCCCCTTTTCTAGGCCTGGACTAAAGAAACTGAGACTTAAAGCCTGAAGAATATAACTCCATGCAAATAAAAATAATTCATTCTCACCCTGGCTGGTTGGTTCAATGGTTAGAGTGTCAGCCCGCAGTTCAGAGAGACCCAGGTTCAGTTCCCACCAAGGGCACATACCTTGGTTGCAGTTTGTCCCCAGCCCTGGTTGGAGTGGTGTGGGTGGCCGCTAGTCGATGTGTCTCTCTCACATCAATGTTTCTTTCTTTCTCCCTCTCACTCTATCTGAAGATGACTGCAAAAATGTCCTTGGGTGAGGCCAAAAAAATTCATTCTCCCATGCAAGTCTTAGAAAATTCCTTTTCTCAAGATATTGCAAGAGCCCCACTCCCACTAGCAATGGAGAAATTTGGCCACTGATTTCTCTTGCAACAGTATAATCCAGAGTGTTTTTTGATGTTGTTGTTTTTCCACAATGAAAGCCATAACACTTGACTTTCTTCTTTTTACCTGCGCTTAAGGTTTTGGGAAAATTCAGTCTCAACTCAAATCCATGGTTATAGTATAGCCCCATCCCCAATAGTCAACAAGATGATGTCCATACTGAGACTCTGTAGGAAATGAGTCTTCCTACCACTGTGAGACCACACTGTCCTATTAAAAGGTTTGTCATGAATGCATCCTTCAAACTAATTTATAATCAAAAGGGGGGACTGTGGACCAAAAATTTATGGGGTTTTATGAAAAATAACCTCACAGTGTGATCTAATTATAAATTTTAACTGGGCAGGTCATGGTAGGTAGTCATGCCCCAGACATAATTTCTTTAGTGAAAGGTTTTTATCTTTGTTTTACGTAAATCCTGTCCATTGTTTCTGTGCATCTAGAGGTGAACACACATTTGAAATAAACTGTGACCACCCTCAAGAGAGCACATAATCTTGTTAACTATCCTGTAATTTAATCCTTGTTTTGCTTTTGCCCACCTTCAGGTAATATTCCTTAAATTCTCTCAATTTTAAATGTATAAAAGAAGCCCTGGCCGGTTTGGCTCAGCGGTTAGAGCGTCCGCCTGCGGTCCGGAGAGACCCGGGTTCGGTTCCCGCTAAGGGCACGTACCTCGGTTGCAGTTTGTCCCCGGCCCTGGTTGGTCGTGCGGGTGGCAGCCACTCGGTGTGTCCCTTTCACATCGATGTTTCCCTCTCTCTCTCTTCCTCTCTCTCCGTCCCACTCTATCTGTACAAAAAATGGAAAAATGTCCTCGGGTGAGGATAAAAAAATAAAATAAATAAATGTATAAAAGAAGATGCAATCCTATTATTGTCTAGAGCAGTGGTTCTCAACCTTCCTAATGCCCTGACCCTTTAATACAGTTCCTCATGTTGTGGTGACCCCCAACCATAAAATTACTTTTGTTGCTACTTCATAACTGTAATTTTGCTACTGTTATATCTTAGTTGACCCCTGTGAAAGGGTCGTTCAACCCCCAAAGGGGTCATGACCCACAGGTTGAGATCGCTGGTCTAGAGCATTTGAGATCTTGCTCCCTAGCATGTCATCAGTTTGGCGCAAATAAACTCATAAAACACACACACACACACACACACACAGCAGCCCATATTCTAACCTTTGAGGCCCCCTATCAAAGTTCTTTCCAGTAGTTATCTCTAAACACTATGCTTATATTCTTATTTTTGATTTGTAAATTGTAAACATAATATATTAATTTCCTATCATGGAAGATAAAGACTTAGCTCTTATACCACCCATTTCCTGTCTTTTCATTCTAATATTGAGCCAACTAGTATGTTTTTAATATATTTCCCTTCTTAAGTAACAGTTTTTCCTTCCTAGAGTTAATACTGCCACTTTTGTCCTCAATTCCCAAGCTAGGCAACAGAAATGTAAAACCTCTCTGAATATATTTCACACTTTTTTTTTTTCATTTCATTTTATTTTTCAATTACAGTTGGCATTCAACATTATTTTGTATTAGTTTCAGGTGTTAGACAATCATCTACTTTACAAAGTGTTCCCCCAATATTTCAGGTACCCACCTGGCACCATACTTAGTTATTACAATATTGTTGACTGTATTTCCTGTGCTTTTCATCACTATTTTGTAACTACGAATCAGTACTTCTCATCCTTTCTGTTTCACACTCTTAAGCATGAAGCATTCTATTAATTCCAACTGTTTATTTTAAACACCTCTTTCTGGATTTTTTCATCTTCCTACTTAACTAAGGGCTGATTACGCTTAAGATCAATACACAACTGCTATCCAGGAACTTCCTTCCCTTCACCTTTATCTCATTTCATCACTTATTTCTTTCCTAAAAACTGTTTTCCTCTTCTCTCTTATTAACCTTAATTTACATATAAAAAGATTCCCCAGGAAGTGACCATGGAAGGTACATTTAGAGGATCATGAATCTAAAAATGTCTTTTTTTCTACCCTCGCACTGATTAATAGTTTGGCTAGGTATAAAACACAAGTTAAAAGTAACTTTCTTCAGAATTTTAAGGCCACATCTTCTAGCTTTGATTATTGCCATTAAGAGATCAAATACCCCCTTTCCCTGCTGCCTGTGGAGATGCGCAGAGGCGGAGGCTTGGGTGCGCTCAAGATTCGGCTCTACCCATAACCCACCGCCATGCCGAGGAAGGTATTGTTGCTGCAGGTACAATGGACGTTAACACAGCTTTACAAGAGGTGCTGAAAACTGTCCTCATCCATGATGGCCTCGCGCACAAAATTCACAAAGCTGCCAAAGCCTTAGGCAAGCGCCATGCCCACCTTTGTGTGCTCGCTTCCAACTATGATGAGCCTATATATGTCAAGTCGGTGAAGGCCCTTTGTGCAGAACACCAAATCAACCTCATCAAGGTTGATGACCAGAAACTAGGGGAATGGGTAGGCCTCTGCAAAATCCACGGAGAGGGAAAACCCCATAAAGTGGTTGGTCGCCATTGTGTGGTGGTTAAGGACTATGGCAAAGAATCTCAGGCAAAGGTTGTCATCCAGGAGTACTTCAAATGCGAGAAATGAACAAATATACTTGGCTTTTGTTTCTCAAAAAAAAAAAAAAAAAAAGAGAGAGAGATCAAATACCATGCTGATCCTTGAGCAAATGTGTGTGTAGAGTTTATATTTTCTCTCTAGAGGCTTCTATTATCTCTATATTGCTGATATTCGAAAATAATCCAGTTTTGTACTTGGTATAGATCTGATTTATTTTATTTTTTAATGTGCACCCAACAAACTCATGTTCTTCAGTTCTGAAATATTTTATAATATTCTCTTTATGATTTTTTTATGATAATCTCTTATCATTTTCTTTGTTCTCCCATTTTCTGGAACTTCTATTAATATTTATTTTACTTATTAGAATGTTTGTCTGATTTTGTCTTTTCTCTCCCATTTTCCATTTATTTCACTCTTTGCTTTATTTTTAGGAAAATTTCAATACTTCTGTTAAAGTAATTTCAGCTATTATGAGTGCTTATTCTGATTATTCCTTTTTTATATCATCCTGACTTTCATGAAAATACTATCTTATCCTATCTCTGTGAGTATATTAATTATATTTTTTACTTCAGCTATCGTCTTCCATAGGAAGTACTGCCTCCAATTCTTGAACCAGACCTGGAGTGTGACTGGCTTGCATTTTCATTGGCACAATACCCTCCAGGCACTTGTATGCTTTCTCAGTTCTACTAATTCCTGCAACCACTTTACATCTTCCAAAAATTGTACCTCTTTCATATGTTGCTTCCTCTTCCTTATGCTTATGAATTCATATATATTATTTTGTCTTTTACTCACACTGTTAAGCCCATCCTAGGGAGGAATGTGAAAACCATGTGTTCCATCACCACGTTTAACTGGAAGTCTGTTGTCAAAGTTTCAGAAGATGTTAATCCTACAGGTATAATCATATTATTCACAGAGTCACAAAATCATAGAGTTTTTGCTATTAAAAAGCCTTCTCAGAGATCATCCAATTCAGCCCTCTTATTTTACAAATGAGCACATGGAAACCCAAAAAGGTTAAGTGGTTTCTGCAAGGTTATTTAACTACCAATTCATACAGCTGGTACTTGAACTTGCCTCATTACCATACTGCCTTATCATATAGATAACTCCTTAAAGCAGCTACTCTCCAAGGTTAAAACATTCCATAAGCCATTTTAGTTTTTGGTTAACAAAATAGGGGAAAGCTCCATTAAAGAAAATCTGGAAAACAATAACTCCAAGAATAAATATCGGATTCCAGACTTTCTATTTTCCACTAAAAGTCCCTAATCAGTACTCTCCCATGAAACTCACTCTTCTCAGCCTGCCAGAACATGCCAGAGTTATCCTAATTTTTACCCTTTCAGGTCACAGGATCCCACCATGTTTTCTCAAAGCAAAGTAATGTTTGAAATTCAACTGAATTATTTATATCCTTCCTTATCTCCCGGTCTCACCCTCTTCCTGACCTCAAGCTGGCCAGCAACCTGCTTCTCCTAAAATAATTCTTTCCTCCATGAATAGCACCACCCAGGTACTCAAGGAAAAATCTTGAGAGTCATCCTAAACTCCTTTTCCCTTAACAACACCCACACCCCACTACTCCATCTAGGTAGTCCCCAAATCTTATCAATTCTACCTCCAAAAATATCTTGAATCCATCCCTCGTGCTGTTCCTCACAGCTTCACAGCTACTGTTTTAGTTCCATCCTCTACTGATTACCATTCATTGCCTTCCACCTGGTCTCACAGACCAGTCTCTTCTCTTTGCATCCCTTCTTCCTCATTCAATTGCTGAAATGTTTTTTTCTCAATATAACTGAGCATGGCATACATAAAATACTTCATATAGGGTAACTGTGCAGCTCTCCACCTTCATCTCCTGTGGCTCCTAAGCTAGCATTTTATTGAACTAGAAACCTGGTAAAAACCAAAATGCTTTTTGTAGGTTTTCCTACTCAAAATGGATTTTCACTACCAAGTGCCAACTGTCCTTTCCCATCTCTTCTCCCAAATAAAGAAGGAAGCAGATGAAACAAAAGAGGGTGATATGAGTGAAACCCAGGATTAATCCTATAAAAGTATGTGATAAAGTTCAGTTTACCATAATAGTCACATTGATATTTTATGTTCTTTTAGGGGTTATAAACTGTTTAAATGTATTGGCAGTACATTAAATTGAGTATCTAAAACACTGAAGATGCAAATTACATATATGATCATGATAATAATAATCAGACCTTTTGAATGTGGACTAATTAAGGGATCAACACATTATTATAGTAAAGACCAAATCTAAGAATGTTTCATGCAATAGCCACTAGACTACAAATTTTAATAGGTTAGTCTTAATCATATTTTATTCCCTACAGTGACAAATACATTCCCCAACATAATAGGTGCCCAGTGAATTAATTAATTATTCAATGGAATTATTGATAACATTGGGCCAACAAACCCAGGCAGCAATAGCTTATCTGCTATTTGAAAAGCCAAATAATTCAATGGAACTTATTATCATAGTTGATCAATTTGTTCAAAATGGCATGAATTACATATTTTTTAAAAGAGTATGTATAGCCCTGGCCAGTTTGGCTCAGCGGTTAGAGCGTCAGCCTGCGGTCGGGAGAGACCCGGGTTCGGTTCCCACTAAGGGCACGTACTTCGGTTGCAGTTTGTCCCCGGCCCTGGTTGGTCGTGTGGGTGGCAGCCACTCGATGTGTCCCTTCATTTCGATGTTTCTCTCTCTCTCTCTCTCTTCCTCTCTCTCCCTCCCACTCTATCTGTACAAAAAATGGAAAAATATCCTCGGGTGAGGATAAAAAAAAAAAAAAAAGAGTATGTATAGATTCAGCAGATCTTTATATGAACCATCAGTCTGATCTTTATTTGGGTATTTGTTAAATCATTCATTGAATAACAGCAAAAATTTCCAACATAACAAAAAAATATACTATTTGCCAAACAAGTTAAAAAAAAGATGAGCTCTGGTTGGGTGGCTCAGTTGGTTGGAGCATCATCCCTTACACCAAAAGGTTGTGAATTCGATTCCAGGTCAGGGCACATACCTAGGTTGTGGGTTTGATCCCCAGTCAGGGCACATATAGGAAGCAACTGATCTATGTATCTCTCACATTGATGTCTCTCTCTCGTACTCTTCCTCTCTCTCTTAAAAAAATCAATGAAAACATATCCTCGGTGAGAATTAAAAAAAAAAAAAAAAAGATGATCTCATTCTTAGTATTCTTTAGATTGGCCAACATACATTTCTCCAATTCAGATAAATGAGAACTCTCTCAGCTAGAACTTTAAGTTACTGCCTTTCATATTATTGCAATTATATCCAAACTGCCTTCTAAACAAATAGAAACAGCACCATTGTATATGCACATACACCGAACTGATCATTTCTTCTATCATATCAATCTCAGGTTCCATGACATTCTGACCACTATTATGCACTAAAGCCAACTTGCTAGCCTACCTCAATTTTATTGTCACAGCAAAACACTGCTGGTGAGGTATTAACACATAACCTGAAGTTTGTAATGCATCCCAGGCCAGTTATACAAATGCCTTAATCCACAACCTAAAATTTAAAATATTAAGGGGCTGGGCCCCAGGGATCTGAGTCAAGAACAGAGCATTCTGAACATCCAAACTGAGATTGGCTCTTTTCTCTGCCTTAAAATGTCCTTAGCAAGGGGTTCTGAATGTTGTTTTGACTAACATAAATTACATAAGAAGAAGAAAATTCGCTTGAATCTTACCTCCTTAAAAATACCTTGTATAACAAAAGGCTATGATGGGTAGATCCTCCCTGGGTAGAAGCCTGAATACCTCATCTATGGTACTTCAGTATAAAGACAGATATTTCCTGGGATACTATCTAGTTTTTATAAGTTCCACTGTTGTTCTCATGTAACATAACTCTATGGATATGGTGCAAAGAAAAAAATGGTTAATAAAAAAAAAAAATTAGGGAATAAAAGTATAAGTTAGAGAGAGGAATACATGTTAACAAATGCTGACATACAGAAGAGCAAAGAAAAATGTATGAAGACACACCTCAGAGCAAAAGCCTGATGACAGCCAAAATTGAAAGGACATATAATGATTGAAAGAAAAGTATAAGAAAGAGTAGAGGAGAAATTTGAATAATATCATGGGTAGAAAAAGGTATGTTGTATGAACTGAGGAGTAACCCCAATGCTCTAATGCTCCATGAAAAAGAAAAACAATATTTCTTTTATCCAAAAGCTTTATGACAGGTAAAGATTGCCTACAATATGCAAAACGAATAGATCTAAATGTCATAATAGGCACAAAAAGTGACCAATAGGGATATTTGTGCTATTTAAGGATGCAAAAGGGTAGTTAATAACTTTAGATGATATCATTTAAAACTTTTTTCAACTGTAGAAAACATCTTACATTACACTTTACTACCCATTTGCCTTATTTTTAAAAATTACGGAAGTGCCATATAAAACATCTATAGAAGGTGAATGGTATCACTTATTTAAATAATGACAAAAACAAAAGAAACAGTTGATCGCATTTTCATTCTAATGCCACCAAAACTGAATCAATTATTAAAACATTCAAACCAAGGAGGAAACTATCTGCAGGGCTGGTGTCCTCTCTGACTTTGAAGTTGGAGCGCCTTTCCTATGAGGAGTACATTCCTGGTAGGCAAACAGGACGTGAAAGGATATGAAGATGTGTGTGGCAGTATTCAGAAAGAAAGCAGGTAAAAGCTTAATTCTCCTACCAAAAAAAAATAATAATAATAAGTTTTTAAATGTAGATTCATTAATAAAAACCTGTAATCTACCAACCAGCAGAAGCATTTAGGAACTAATGGGATACAGTATAATACCTACCCTTTTGATCAGTATGCAACTACTACACAACTGTTGGAGCTTAGCTACAAGGAATTGTTGTCAAGATTGCTTTCTTTTCCTTTGTTTGTTCTCTATTTACAATTGTGAGAGAACTATGTGAAGGTTAGTTTTCAGTGTAGTGAGAAA